TTGCTGTGGACATAGTTACCAGCCCTGTCCCAACCCCTACAAAGGCTAATGCTGGAGATTACCTGGGAAACGGTCATCTCCATGTTACTTTGCCCACTGCAGAGCCAGACGTCTCCAAAGTAGATATCCTGCAGCGTCAGATTCTTTGGCTCTTCCCTGGAATGCTGCTCTGCCATCACACTATAAGGGCCACCATGGTCCGTAGGAGCCAGTACAACTTTCCAGGTCCCAGAGTGCTCTGAAACATGAAGCAAAGGACCCTGACTTGATAGCAGCAAGCACAGATCCCTGATTGGTATCAATCCAGCGATACAAACAGAGGTTTTTATTAAATGAAAAGGGACATTTCATATCATGGTGCTTTAATAGGGCTCATTTTACAAAGCTGAAAACAATTATGAGCCAAAGCAGCTGGGAGGAAGAATTTAATTAGAAAAATATGTGCAATAATTAGGAATCATTTAAGAACATCTTACTAGATGCCCAAAAAGCCACAATCCCACAAATGAGGAAGAAGGTCGTGCCCATTAAAAAACCAAACGGGTTTAGAGGGGAAGTGAAGACAACTATAAAAACTAAAAAAATAATATATAACAAATAGAAGAAAGGTGAAGTTGAGAATAATGAATATAAATCAGAAGTTAGGAATTGTAGAAAATTGATAGGGGAAGCAAATGGACACAAGGAGACATCTATGGCAAGCAGAGTCAAGGAGAAAAAGGAGTTTTTAAAATGTATTAGGAACAAAAAAAATCCTGACAATGGTATTGGTCCATTACTAGATGGAAATGGCAGAATTATCAATAACAATGCTGGAAAGACAGAAGAGGTCAATGAATATTTCCTTTCTGTATTTGGGGGAAAAAACAGACATAATCAAGGGCTATCAATTAATAGCAGTTAGCTTGTGTGATTAACTCAAGAAATTAATTGTGATTAAAAAAATTAATCACAATTAATTACAGTTTTAATTGCACTGTTAAACAATAGAATACTAATTGAAATTTATTAAATATTTTGGATCTTTTTCTACATTTCAAATATATTCATTTCAATTACAACACAGAATGCAAAGTGTACAGTGCTCACTTTATATTATTATTTTTATTACAAATATTTGCACTGTAAAAATGATAAACAAAGAAATAGTATTTTTCAATTCACCTCATACAAGTACCATAATGCAATCCCTTTATCGTGAAAGTGAAACTTACAAATGTAGATTTTTTTTTAACATAACTGCACTCAAAACAAAACTTCAGAGCCTACAAGTCCACTCAGTCCTACTTCTTGTTCAGCCAATCGCTAAGACAAACAAGTTTGTTTACATTTACAGGAGATAATGCTGCCCTTTTCTTATTTACAATTTTACCTGAAAATGAGAACAGGCGTTCGCATGGCATTTTTGTAACCGGCACTGCAAGGTCTTTATGTGCCAGATATGCTAAATATTTGTATGTCCCTTCATACTTGGGCCACCATTCCAGAGGACATGCTTCCATGCTGATAATGCTCGTTAAAAAAATAACGCGTTAATTAAATTTTGAGTGAACTCCTTGGGAGAGAATAGTATGTCTCCTGCTCTGTTTTACCCGCATTCTGCCAAGTATTTCATATTATAGCAATCTTGGATGATGACCCGGAACATGTTGTTCGTTTTAAGAACACTTTCACTGCAGATTGGACAAAACGCAAAGAAGGTACCAATGTGAGATTTCTAAAGATGGCTACAGCACTCGACCCAAGGTTTAAGAATCAGAAGTGTCTTTCAAAATCTGAGAGGGGCGAGGTGTGGAGAATGCTGTGACGGGGTGTACCGGCCCTGCAGTGGGCCGCCAAAGGCGGACCAATCATTGTGGGTCCAGGAGGCCACACCCCCTCTTCCCTGATGCATATGCTCCAAGTGGAGAACTCAGATGAAAGGAGGCAGCCCAGGCCAGTCAAGGGGAGGCAGGGGTGAAGGAGGAAGGGAGTACACTGCTGGCTCTTCCAGAGGTACCTGCAGCGCCCCTGGCGGTAAAGCCCGGGGACCGGGTCCAGGTCTACCCACCAGACGACCCGCCAGCTGTGGAGACCGCTGTGGAAGCCGATCCACTGCTCGTTGAGGAAGCTGCCTAAAGTATGCCCCAGCCCCGAGAGGCATGAGGCCTATAGACTGATTGTTTGCTTGCCTCACCCCACCCCGGGGTTGCAGCCTGCTTGCTGCTTCACCCTGCCCAGGGGGCTAATTCCACAGACTGTTTGATTTTTTGGCCACTCAGAATCCAAGGATTACCCGTTTAGGTGACCCAGTGCGCGGGCCGGGCCACAGTTGACAGAAATCACCCCCGGGGAAGCCCACGACCAAGTGGTGGAGTGGGCCACCCCCATACTGGACTGACACCCCAGCTCGACCAGCAAGGCCCTGCCCATCATTCAGATGATGAAAGTGAACATATGTTGAGCCGCACTGCTTTGGATCGTTATCGAGCAGAACCTGTCATCAGCATGAATGTCACCAGCATCACCTCTGGAACGGTGGTTGAAGCATGAAGGGACATATGAATTTTTAGCGCATCTGGCATGTAAATATCTTGCAATGCCGGCTACAACAGTACCATGGGAATGCGTGTTCTCACTTTCAGATGACACTGTAAACAAGACGCGGGCAGCATTATCTCACTTGTTTGTCTGACCGATTGGCTGAAGTAGGACTGAGTAGACATGTAGGCTCTAAAGTTTTACATTGTTTTATTTTTGAATGCAGTTATTTTTTGTACATAATTCTACATTTGTAAGTTCAACTTTCATGATGAAGAGATCGCACTACAGTACTTGGATGAGGTGAATTGAAAAATACTATTTCTTTTGTTTTTTACAGCACAAATATTTGTAATCAAAAATAAATATAAAAAGTGAGCACTGTACACTTTGTATTCTGTGTTGTAACTGAAATCAATATATTTGAATATGTAGAAAACATCCAAAAATATTTAAATAAATGGGATTCTATTATTAACAGTGCAATTAATCACAATTATTTTTTTTAAAATCGCTTGACAGCCCTAATATAATCTCATCATGTGATGATGATGATAACATGCTCCATTCCACTAGTATCTCTGGAGGATATTAAACAGAAGCTACTACAGTTAGATATTTTAAAATCAGTAGGTGCAGATAGCCAGCTCTTTTAAAACTTTTGGAAACAGGTTGAGGAGCAGACTGGACCATTAATGTTTATTTTTAATAAGTCTTGGGGAAGTTCCAGAAGACTGGCAGAAAGCTAACATTGTGCCAATTTTTAAAAAGGGTAAACGGGTTGACCTAGATAATTATAGGCCTGTCAGCCTGACATTGATCTCAGTCAAGATAATGGATTAATAACAAACTATAGGAAGGTAATGCAATGAATGCAAATCAACATGGGTTTAAGGAAAATAGATCTGGTCAAACTAATTTGATTTTTTTATGAGAGGACATGTTTAGTTGATAAAGGTAATAGCACTGACGTAATATACTTAGACTTCTGTAAAGCATTTGACTTGGTACAACATAACATTTTGATTAAAAAAATAGAACGATATAAAATTAAAACGGCACACGTTAAATGGATTAAAAACTGGCTGATAGGTCTCAAAGTGTAACCGTGAATAGAGACTCGTCATCAAGCAGGTGTGTTTCCATTGGGGTCCACAGGGATCAGTTCTTGGCCCTATGCTATTTAACATTTTTATCAATGACCTGGAAGAAAACATAAAATTATCACCGATAAAGTTTGCAGATGACGTAAAAATTAGGGATGTGGCAGATGACGAAGAGGACAGGTCACTGATTCAGAGCCATTTAGATCCCTTGGTAAACTGGGCATAAGCAAACAATATTTAATATGGGCTCTTCAGTCTAGCAGAGGAAGGTCTAACACGATCCACTGGCTGAAAGTTGAAGCTAGACAAATTCAGACTGAAACAAGGTGTAAATTTTTAACAGTGAAAGTAATTAACCATTGGAACAATTTACCAATTGTCGTGGTGGACTCTCCATCACTGACCATGTTTAAATCAAGAGTGGCTGTTTTTTTCCTAAAAGCTCTGCTCTAAGAATTATTTGGGGGAAGTTCTGTGGCCTGTGTTACACAGGAGGTCAGACTAGATGATCATAATGGTCCCTTCTGGCCTTGGAATCTATGAAAATTGTCACTTAAACCCCACCCCCGACTCTCTGAAATTTGTTCTCCTGCTGATGTTCTAGGTAACTCCTGCCACCTCCACCACAGAGAGGCAATGGAGAAAATATGATTTGCCTCTGGTTTTTCAGTATGTTGACTTTGTGCATTCTACAGCACGTGAGGAGCGGAGTCAGTCGTCCTTGAGGTTTGTGCGGCGCTTTCCCCCAGCAACAGGAACAGAAAAACATTTTAAGCTATAAGAAGAACGTGATTGGAAAGCCCCAAATATTGGCAAAGATTGTCTTTCTAGGACCACATCCATCATCCTAGCGTCTCCAGTAACTGGGGATCGGAGAAGAGAAGGGGACACCACGATGTCCACTAGGAGCCTCGCAATGCAGGCCAGATTTACTGGGAAGGACATAGGCCCTAATCCCACATGCTGTTGCGAGTGATCAAATCCCTGCACCTGATCAGAGCTCCAATGCCTTCAAAGGAGCTCTGTGCGGGGGCATCCACATGGGTGTGACATCCCAGGGTACAGTCCAGACCAGTGGGGGGACTGCATCACCCCTGCTCTGCAAGCTTGGATGCCTTACAATGCCTTGCTGAAGTAGCTCCCACCTGGGCTGCTCACAAACAGATTTCTAGCATGCAAGCCACACACTGAGTGTTTGTGTGTAACTGCAGCCTGCCAGCCACACTTGGGTTACACTCTGGGTCTCACCAGCCGTGGTTACACTGCACGGTGACCGCAACACACCCCCAGTCCCAGATCTCCCCCAGAAATGTATGTCCTGTGCTGGCCAGCCCTCTCCTGGACAGTGCAAAATACTTTAAGTTTGTTATTCCTTAACAGGAACAATAAGCCAGCCCATTATTTCAAATAGTTATTCAGACGCTTCAATTTACACACACAGGGTTAGCTACAACAGTAAAACAAGTGGATTAACTACAAAGAGAGAGGTTTTAAGTGAGTGCAGGTAATGAGGTGTAGAAATCAGAAAAATAAATAAGATTCAAGCCCAGCTTCTCATCACATGCTTTCAGCAATGTGACTGAGCAGACTCTCAGGTCCGGATCCCTCCCCCAGAGTTCAACACTTGCTTCCTTGTTCTTTTCAGGTGCAGTGAATGTGATAGGCAGGGAGAGAGAGGGGTGGTCCCCTCGGCCCCTCCTTTTTATAGTTTCAGTCCCCCTCTTGAAACACATTTCCAGCGGGGCACTAGGAGACAAAAAGTCTGTGTGGAAGGATGTTCCTTGCTGACTTTTCCTCACCTGTTTGAGCTTCCTTTGTCTCTCCTTCCTGCTTGATGACTCTGTTTACTGCTTAAATGCAAATTAAGCAAAGCACACACTTTTCTGGTTAGGACAGCAATGTTTGCCAACTTCTGTTGGGCAGGACTATGGGGTCGGAACACGTGTTAATAACACCATACAGGGGACTCTTGTAACTACCTGTACAATGTTGCCACAGAGTTTATCAGGACAATACGGACCAGCAAATTATGAGTTTTCAAACGATACCTTACAAGACATACTTTGTACAAAGATTATGACACCTCTACCCCGATATAACGCTGTCCTCGGGAGCCAAAAAATCTTACCGCATTATAGGTGAAACCGCGTTATATCGAACTTGTTTTGATCCGCCGGAGTGCACAGCCCCCGCCCCTCCCCGGAGCACTGCTTTACCGCGTTATATCCGAATTCGTGTTATATCGGGTTGCGTTATATCGGGGTAAAGGTGTACTATGCTATTGCAAGCAAGCAAAGCCCTACACCTGAACAGAGCCCCAAAGCCCTCAAAGGAGCGCTGCAGGCGTCCATCCACATGGGACAACATGCAGGATGAGGGTCTTAGATGCTGGGGGTGGCGGGGTGCTCAGAAACGACTGCTAACCAATTATTTGTATTGATGACTTCCAATTAACAGTGTCCATTTAGAGACCTATAGGCCTGAAGCTAAAATGGGAACCACAGAGTGAATTCAGTTGAAAAGGAGGATAAATTTCCCTACTATAGGGTATGTGTGTTAAAAGGCAAGACTTTATGGGCATTCTTTTATTCCAATGAAGCCCTCTGGTTAATGATAAAGCAGAGGCATTTATATCATCCCAGATGCATTTATATCTGAGTAGAAGAACTTCCGGGAAGCACCCATTTGCTGGAGCACTTTGGCTCTGCGATATCAATTTCAGAATATGCTCAGCACCTTGAACTGATTTTACAGCTGCAGAACTGAGCCCAAAGAGATTAAATAACCTGCCCCAGGTCACACAGAAATTACTGCTAAACTGGGAATTGAATTCCAGTCTTCTATGCCTTAGGCCAGTGCCCCAACCACAGCATCATCACTGCTCTTTCAATGCTAGTCCAGCAGGTGCCCCAGGAGACCTCCAGAAGAGCAGTCAAAACCTGTCCAGGCCTCCGTACGTCGTGTGTGTGTGTGTGTGTGTGTGTGTGTGTGTGTGTGTGTGTGTGTGAAAGAGAGAGAGAGAGAGAACAGGGGGTTAGACTAGATGATCTCCTGAGGTCACTTCCAACCCTGATATTCTATTCTACAAGAGGAGGCAGGCAACTAACTTTTTTCCCTTTCCATGTCGCCTTCAGCTAGAGCATTGTATGAAGTACGTACAGACCGAAAGTCAGAGCTCAGTTATCATTTGGACAGATAAAAGATAAAATAAATCCCCCTTTTTATCCCCATTCCTACACTGAAGAACCTGCACTCGTGCACCTACTTAAAATATCATTTTGACGGCAGCTCAGTAAATAGAGATTCAATTGTTTGAAAACCCAAATGTGCTAGAGTTGGTGTCAAGACTGCAAAAAGGAAGTGTGAGAGGGAGGCAGATTAAATACCAGAAATGCCTCAGCTCCAGGCAGAGATCAGGGCAGAACCTGGTCAAATGTGGCAATACCTGACTTAGTGTGTCTACACGGGCAAATCAGAGAAGCACAGATTAAGACTGAGTTTGCTATGTGAGTTCAAAACCCCCCTCACTGGTGCAGGTTTGGCAAAGGGGGCACTTTTGGCCTGTATGGTGGGAATCTCCACAGAATGCCACTTTGGGGAAAACAATCTGACCATAAACTGTAAAATGCGGGCCCTACGCTGCCTTCTGCTGTGAGGCCTGGAGAGAAGCCAAAAAGAGGGTGCACAAGGTCTATGGAGGTGCACCACAAATCTGTGCGCTCCAGACAACTGTCAGTTATTGCAGAAAGCAAGCAGGCACTTGGGAAGTTGGGACTAGAACATGCCTCCTTCAATTCCACAAGCTTGTACCACGTGAACTACTGGAGAAGCCATCTAACTAGTGCAGCTCCCTATCCTCTCTGAAGGTCAGACGGCAACAACACAAAGCCAACAAATCATAGAGGAAACAGGGTTTGGTGCCACATTCCCCACTGCCTGGGAGCTCATCTGTAGGACAGCCACTCGGTTGGGGAAGTGGATAGTTGCTGCTGTTTGGGGGATGTTTCCTGGCCCTCATCAGAGGCAGGGAGTGGGGGCAGAGAGGCCCTGGAAGCTGTGTGGTCATGAGGAAGTGCAAAGCAGTAGGAATCTGAGATTTATTTTATTACCTTCAACTTGTGCCATTTTCTTCATTATTACTTTGCTGTCTTTGGAAAGAGACACGGTAACATTAGCGCCAGCTTCCCCGTAGCCCCATACCACTGCGCCAGCTGGTTTCTTCTGTAATACCATGTGGTCACCATAATAGGATGCAAAGCGAAACGTCACACCTAGGATCCAGAAAAATGTCATGATCGTCCTGCAATATTTTACTCCTCTCAGAAATGCCAAACCCCCTTATCCTCTACGGGGTATGCACTGGGAGGTAGGTAACTGTTAGGAATTTCTGTCTATAGCTGTCATTTTGTGAGACAGAGTTAACGAAGCACGTTATGGGGAGACAAACACACAGTGCTCTCCCATGACAACTTTCCTTTTGTTCTTTCTTATTTTGTTGTTTCCCTTTATCTAAAGTAAGTCTTGATGGCAGCACACAGTAGCTATTGATTTTGTTGTGACACCTACAATATTGGTGTTAAGATAATACAGCATGTTTGAGCCAAAAATCCTTCTAATAAAGCAAACAAACCAACAAAAATTGATCATTTTCTGACAGCATAAACTGCTAATAAATACATATTATTAAATACTGACTTGAGTGGCTCAGATATCAGCATGATACAAATACCAAGACAGATAAGGAGGAATAGGAAAAACATTGTGTACTATAAGCTACTCTGTTAAAAAGCCACATGTCAATTGTAAACACTGCTTCTAGCATGTAACAATTAAATGGGCAAGATTTTGAGGAGGATAAATAGGTCCATGAATGGGGAACTGAAGAACTTTAATTGCTGGAATCATCAAAAGTTAATTCCACACAATTGAAAAAAAAATTATTTCTCCACTGATTCAGTGTTGAAGAAATCATAATATTGTACCAATGCTGTAAATATGATGATGGTTGGACTTTAATAAATAATTGGGACCAACGTGTAACAATACTCATAGTAGTTCAGCTGTGTATTACCAGGGCCCTGTTTATTCGGCTCCCACTGAATTTACCACAGAATTCACACTCTGCCCATCTGTCACGGAATTCGCCATTTCTAGAATCTGAACTTCCATATAAAAATAATTGTGTTTCTCTCTTTCGCGTGATTTTGAAGATAACCCTGAAAACATGAACTGCCCGTAACCAATGCAATGCTGTCTTCCAGAATCTGCAGTTGGGACTCTGAGACGTGTAACCAGCCCCATCTCTTAATGGAATGTTAACTCTAGAATCCTCAAGATGACTATCTAAAATTTCAATATCTAGATAATGTTCTTACCTGACGATTCCAATCCACCTCCCTTACCACCCCTGGGATCCAAGCCCCAGATGGCCACACATCCAAGTACCACCCCCTTACTTCCATGATGTGGCTATTGGCCAACACAAGAATCTGTGCATACAGCCAACTGAAAATGCAGAAACAGCATCAAACAAATGGAATTTAACAGCACGGAGGAGATTGCGTTAATGGGATTAGTCACTTTCATAATTAATTCAATAACAACCCTTCATTTTTCATTTAAATGAAACTATCAGAATTTCCAGTTTGCTGCACCAAAGCCCTGCATAATTCAGAGCAACAGAAGTAAACAAACTCTTAAAAGGACACATTACAGAAAAACAAGACTGAAGGAAAAAGAGTTACCAGAGGAGCAACACATGAGGGTGTAGTAGGATGAAGGGAGAATGGGAAGACCGGGGAAATCCACAGGAACAGACAGGGGCTTTTATAGAAATTTTGCCTCCTACAAAATTGTGTGGCTCATTTAATGAGGGAAGCAAACCCAAAACAAAACAAAAAAAGCTGAAAATGGTGATGAAGGAAGGGGCAGAGAGGTCCCCAAATCTGACCTGTCAGGGGTATTCTACACCCTAACTTTTTTTTCTTTTTAGATTGACAGGTAAGTCCCCAGCCACAAGGTTTCCAAAGGGGCGGAATGTCTCAGTGAGATTTTTATTGCAACCACAGAAGCCTAACCAACTTGCCTCTCTCAGGTGCTCCCTGGAAGCAGGAAAGTCTAGACCAGGCCTGCACAACACGCGGCCCGCTGTGTGGCCCGTGGGCAAGCGGTGGGGGGCGGTTTCCGGGTTCACCCCCTGCCCGGGTGGCCCGACCTCATAGCCCCGCGC